AAAACTCCCTTACTTCTGCTGTACAATGTTTAGCTATGTTTAGCTAGTTAGCTAGTCTGTTTACAACAATAGGCAGTTGCTGATTGAATTCAATCATCCATATATTGTAGTCAATTTGTTTTTCAACTTACTTTTCTGCTTTTAAAAAAAAGGACTTTAATATGAGCTGTAATGTCACTTTTGCATTAGGGGTTGAGCTGACCTTCAACTACAACCTGGAGTGTCGCGGTAACGGGAAGACTGCCTGTAAATGTGGAGCTCCAAACTGTAGTGGGTTCCTGGGGGTGCGACCAAAGGTAAAACAGAACATTCAGTCCATCGCAGCATAATCCGAATTAAAAATAAAACCTGCTTTTGTTAGCCTTCACCCGCTTCCTGATTCTTAAAATCCTAATTTCATGTCCTTATTTAGAACCAGCCACCAGCTGAGAAAATAAAGGAAGGGAAAAGGAAGGGCTCCATGAAGAAGAAGACTAAGCAGCAAGTAACCAAGGAGAGGGAAGACGAATGTTTCAGCTGCGGTGACGGGGGTCAGATCGTTTCCTGTAAAAAGCCGGGATGTCCCAAAGTCTATCACGCTGACTGCCTTAACTTGGCTAAGAGGCCGGCAGGTGAGTAAATTCCACAGTGTTAAATAAGCAGTGACAAAGTACTTCACTCTTTACGAGTTATTACAACAGCAACTGGAGGAAGATATACACTATTTCAGAGTTTCTGCAGGTCATTAAAAATCATTAAGTCATAAAATAATTATTTTTCAAATTAAGGCCTGAATTGGCATTAAAGTTCATTAAATGTGATTATTTTGGCATTTAAAATTATTTATTTAAGAAAAAAATGTTTATAAAAACAATTTCCTAAATTATGTATATATTTGCAAATATGCAAAAATATCGCGATATATTTGCACGGAACTGCTTCCAGCCATCGTCAAGCAGTATGTTCGGAAAAGAAGCTCAAGGCGGAGAAAAAGCTGTAGAATGGGGAAAATGCTAATTTCAACAAAAGTGGCTGGAAATCGAGGAATTGCAGCCTGACGACAGTAAAGATGAAGAAGGAATTTGCTGTGTATATATATGAGTCATTGTTACTTGTTGCATTAAAATTATTTTTAAGAGCATTAAAAAGCATTAAATTAGAGTTGCTCATTCCTGTACAAACCGTGTATTTAGAGAGTTAATGTGAAACTAATTCAGAGTGGGACCAAATTCACTCGGATTGGTTTAAAATGTGACTGGTAAAGTATTACCTTAACACTAGAACTACCAAGGCCGTCATTTTGATGGTTCTGAGGTTTTTGAAGTGAAAGAACTTTATTTGCATTAATCTTATGTTGGTCATGTTAACTCACTTTTTCTGTTTCTTTATTTCCTTCATATCATGTAGTTTTTGTAAATAAAATAAAAAACTGAAAAATAAATATGGTTAATTTTACCTCAATCTCCCACAGCTGCCTTTTTGATGGCTCTGTTGGTTGCAATTTAGATTCTTCCTGCGGTGGATTGATGTACCATTGCCTAGCAACCAATGTTTTATCTAGAAAACTCCAGAACTGTTGGCTTTCAGAAAAAAATCTAACAGCGAAACAGGCTTTAGAAATGCTTCAAAATATTTATGATAGCGATTCGGGCGGAGATGCAGAGACCGATGATGACGACTGGTCGGTAGGAAAGCGGCTCGGACGTATCAGTGACCCATCAGACAATAGGGAAAGTTTAATTTAAGGTTTGGATAGCCCTGCCCACACGTCCGCTGGTACATTCAGTGGCCCAAAAGCCAAACCAGAGCCCTTTGGTCTGCTTTAATCACAAAAAGGTTGGTGTGCATTTGTTGGATCAGATTATCAGAAATTATTCTATAAAAGCTCCAACGCGAAGGTGGCCTGTGCCTGTATTTTACAATCTCCTGCACATAGCAGCTAGAAATGTATTGGTTTTATTCAGGAGCTTTTTAAATTTCACCATCTCACGCAGAGATTTTATCCTTGAACTAGTAAAACCGTTGCATACAAACATGTGCTCCAGAGAGCCACAAGTTACCCCCCTCTTTCGCCACAAAGAGCTGCCTTTGGCGAGGAAAAGAAAACAACACTCATATGAAAACCCCCAGAAAAATTTGCAATGTTATTCTCAAAACCTTTTTTTTTTTTTTTTAAATAAGACATTTTTCAAAGTTTCATTTCTGGATTTAATTTCCATGTGTTTTTTCTGGTAATAATAACGGAACTAAATTCCCCCCATACTGGTCTATCAGATCCCAGCAAATACATTGAAGTTTATGGTTGTTATGTGATAAAAGACAGAAAAGTTGAAAACTTTTTGCAGTTCAGATATTTGTTGTAAGATATTTGTTAATATTTTGTTCTGATGCTAAATGTTTCTAATGATCCTGTTTCCAGGGCGATGGGAGTGTCCGTGGCATCAGTGTGACGTCTGTGGTAAAGAGGCGTCTTCCTTCTGTGAGATGTGCCCCAACTCGTACTGTAATGCTCATCGGGAAGGGATGCTCTTCATCTCCAAGCTCGACGGAAAGTTGTCCTGCAACGACCACGACCCGTGTGGACCCGACCCACTAGAGCCGGGGGAAATCCGTGAATCCATGCCCAACATGGCCTCCATGAGGCCCGGGAACATGGCTGTACCCGTTCCTCCTGTGCTTCCTGTCATCAAAGGAGCGACTCCTCCTCCTTCGTCGTCTTCTTCTGCTGCTCACCTCTCTTCCCCTCCCACCCAGGCTGCCCCATCCTGCCCAGAACCTCCTCCTCGTCTCTACATTAACACAAAGACTGCTACCTCCAGACTCATCCCCTCCGGCAGGTCCTACCCCACTGACAGAACTGAACGGAAAACCAGCACCACTAGCGGATCCCCCAGTGGGGAGGGAGAGGCTGTAGAGACCGAGGAGGAGGAGGTTTACAGTTTGGATATGGAGGACGATGATGACGACGATGAGGAGGAAAATGAGACTGAGGACCTGGAGATTTTGGAAGATGAGGATGATGATGACGAGGAGGAGGGGCTATATGGAAGTGACGTGATAGAAGAAGATGAGGAGGAAGGAGGTGATGAATATGAGACTTGGGGCGATTATGATGCTGATGATGGAGAAGTTGGAGAATGGGGGAGGATGGAGGATGAGAAGTGAATCTGCTGTAACACTGAGCAGGAGCTCCCTCTGCACACTGACAGAACTAAAGGAGTTCAAGATGTCGGTACCTACTTGAATGCAGCGCTGCCTTCGCTGTGGTACAACATTGCCTTCTCATCTCCAGACTGACAGCGGGGATGAGTGTTGGTGCTAAGGCTGATCTGTTGTCTCACTCAGTCTCTTTATATTTCTGTCCATACTTTTATCTGTGTTTGGTGCTCTCTTGATTTGTTCTCTTTCACACTGTTTACATAGTTTGACCTTTTTTTTTTTAAAAAAAAGCAAAGTTTGTAAAATAAGAAATGAGTGAGACTTTTTACCAAAATGTCATCATGAGACCGTCTTGTCTAGTTTCTTTCTTAACGACCTCTTTCTCTGTTCCCGGGAATCATGAATCCATGTTACACTTAAGCAAAAACTTTACCCTCATCGTCCGTGAGGAGTGACAAATAAAAACCCACTGGAGTCATTCATTTCAGACAAGCATCCTGGTTTTCTGTTTATTAAAATACTGTTCATTTGTGTTGGTGAAACTTCACTATAAACCTTAATCTTTATTGAGATCACAGGTCTTTTTACAGAACACTATGTTCAGTATCTTCCTACTTGGAACCAAGATTTAACTGCATAATACAAACAATATATTATTTTATTCGCTACCCTTCCAGGCTCCTGAGCACTTCTTCCAAAATAAACATCGCCTTCCTTTATTATACAGAAATGTCTTTACTTTGAGAATTGATTTTTAAAAATGTATTAGTGGCATTGTTGAATTCTGGTATAAAGTATATTAAACTGTTAACCATAAAATCATTACAGTTTAAAATAGTTTGTTATTTAAAGCGGATTATATTTTAGTTTTATTGCAATATGGTTCATTGAAGTTGACCTTTTGTTTAACTGTTGAGAGATTGATTGGATGGAGGGCTGTAAAAACATTTTTTTTTTTATATAAAAAAATTGTCAAAATTTTTAAACAACAGCACTCTAATTTCAAATAATTATAATAATTTCAAATCAAAACACCTAGGCAAAGTCATGAAATCATTTATACCATAAAAACAGCCGTTAATGCACCACAGCCTGCTTGTCTCAGGTTATTCCGAATGGAGTGGAAATAATCTAAATTCAACAGGACATTAAACGCATTTGGGGGAATGTTGTTACATTTCGAAATAATGACATTAAAACAGACAAAAAATTATGTTGTTTTTAGTTACTGAAGAAGATATATAATCAAAACTGAAAGTGTGCAACAGTCTAGGGGGATTTCAAGACAAAACACAAACTTCATTAGAATGAAAAATACTGATAAAACAAAAAAAAAAAACAGCCATATTTGAACTGAATGGTTGTGAAGTCTAACAACTGCTTGGAGGTAAGGTTCTTCCATTCCTCCTTATTGTGAAGCAGGCAGCAGCAGTTTGTCTCTTAAGGAGTTTGAAAGACAGCGTTCAACACTGATGTCATTTTGGCGAGAACTGAGACTAACTAACACAAATTGTTAGTTTGTGTTAATAGAAAACAGGTGATCTCACCACCTGAGTCTTTTTAGTCCCATCTTGGGAATTAAATACACTTGTAGGTGAGTTTGCTGTAAGTTATAGGACTGTAAGGTACTGTTCGGGTTTATCACTGCTCTCAACCGGGAGTGTCGGCCAGAACACTACTCAGGCCTGGATTTCAATCAGGACTAGATGTTAGGAGAAGGTGCAGCAGGTGGACAATGAAGACATGAGCCAGGATCCTTTAACTGGTCTGTATTACAAACTCAATTTCGGATTCCAATTGAATAAATGAACATAAGGTATTTCCAGGTAGGTACGTGTGTAAGTGTGTGTGTGGTTTCCTAAAACAAGACAAGAAAGATAATTCAAATTACCCTATCATTACACATCACACCATAGATAAGCTAAGGAGAAAATAATTAAACTCTAAAAAGTTTAACCTCTAATATACTGTTAATCAGCAATATTAACTAACAATCATGGCTTGGCGCCATCTAGTGGATGCGTAGGTTCGGCACAACACTCTACAATACACACACACAGCAGATAACCAAGACTTATCAACAGGTAACTAAGAACGAAAATAACTCATTTAACTGCAATAAACACTCAAATATTAAACTTACTTGTCAGTGACGCACACTTATTTGAAGAACACACATATTTCCAAGTCCTTTCCCTGTGTTAGCTCAGTGGCTCAACTGCCGAACTTTCCAACCGGCAGCAGCAACGGTCGTCACGGCAACGCTGTCCTAACTTCTGCATGCCTTAAGGGCCAAAATAACACTGCGCAGAAACTACAGAATATAAACAGCAGTACCCAACATCGAAAACTTAAAATACTTAAGGGTCTTTTGTACAGCCGCCCCCAAATGTGTACTATATATTTGCTCAAACAAAAGACTCTAGGTGAGGCAACCTTGTGCCTTGAAGTCACTGTCCTCATCAGGTATGGCAGGGAGAATCACCAACCGAGCCACAGGTCGAGTGTAAGTTCTGTCCTTAAGCTTCACATCTGCTGACCTGATGTATCCATCAGGGCTGGGGTGAACTTTGATTATGTATCCCACGGGCCAGAGGGCCCGGGGCAGGTGAGGATCCACGATCATGACAATCGTCCCTTCTCCGATGTCATCTGTAGAGGTTTGCCAATTCTGGCGAACCTGAAGCCCAGGTAGATATAGACGAATAAACCGTGCCCAAAAATGGTCAGCAAGCACTTGGGCATGCTTCCACCGCCGACGGTTCAGAAGTTCCTCTTTGGGGTAGACCACCTGCGGCAGTGAACCATCCCGCCGCCCCATAAGTAAGCAGTTTGGCGTCACGGGATCTGGATCTCTTACATCGGATGAGACACATCCGAGCGGCTTTGAGTTGAGTATCCCCTCTACTTCTACAAGTACTGTACGGAGGACCTCTTCGGTGATGGGCTGTACTCCGACTGTAGCATACAATGCTGTCTTCACAGAGCGAATTTCCCGCTCCCACACACCTCCAAAGTGGGGAGCTGCAGGAGGATTGAAGTGGAACTGAATCTTGTGTGGAGCTAGCAACTGCTGGAGTTCCAATGCCATTGCTTCAAAAGCTTCCCTCAACTCTGCATCACCCCCTCTAAAATTTGTGCCCTGGTCCGAATAAAGTTCTGCTGGTGTCGATAAATGCCATCAACTTCCACTCGGGCAGTTTTTGCCTCTAGAAGGTTCAGAGCTTGATTATCTTGCTTTGAGTGGGTCACCATTTTATCACTCTTAAGGGGGATGACATCTGCTTTCCAAAGCTTCTCCACATGTCTCATTAACTCATTCACCTGAGGAGGAATGGAGGTGACTAAACACTTCTGTGATCCATTGGATTGGAGTAAGATGCTGGAGGGACCTTGTAGCGTCCATCCCAACCTGGTATGGACAGCAGCCGGGCCTCCAGGTGGACCAAGTCGTACAGGTTCTGTCGAAGTAATGAGATGCGGGTGATCACTACCTATCAGAAGCAGAGGTTTTATCTTCTTAAAGGGCTGGATTGGCAGGCCAGTCAAATGTCTGTATTTCTTCCTGAGTGAGTCAATAGGGTAGGTGTGATCTGCTAAGTCAATACGTTCCGTGGTGAAAGCATTATGGATGTGATATTGAGTCCTCTGCCTGGTTCTGGGAGATACAATAAAGGAAACACAGGATCCATTAAGTGTCTGAACATCCTGTCTGATGGTACGCAGGGCCAAAGACTCTGGTGTGCCTTGGAGTCCCAGCTTCTGAGCTGCAGCAGGTAGGAGCATACTTCTTTCTGAACCATCATCCAAGACAGCATAGGTTTCCACCATTCTGGCCCCATGACGAAGCAGAATGGGCACAACTTTCAGTAAAACTCTGCTGCCCTCTGTTGGTCGATCGAGGTACAACACCCCTGTAGAATTCTCATCGTTCTCATGGCTGCATACTGCTGGTGGTTGCTCCTTTGATGGACCTGTGTTAACCTCATGGAGAACTTGTAAGTGGCAGCCCCGGCACAGGTTACAAGATTTCTTCAGGTTGCATTGTGCCGCATGATGCTTTGGTGCACAGCGCCAACATCTTTTATTGGTTCTGATCCAATCTGCCAGCTGCTCTTTTGTCAGTTGCCTTATGGTTGTACATTGACTCAAATGGTGCTCTCTAGCATCACAAAAGGCACAATATGGGGGTGCCTTGGCTTTAGTCACTGAACTACTTGATGGTTCGGTGCCTTGGAATATATTGTCTGCACCATGGAGCACAGCAACAGACCGTTTTCCAAATTTTACTTGGTCTTTCAAGTTGCTTGGTTTCTCCTTTAGTCCTCTGGCGTACAGTTGACCGTCATAATCTTGACACCAATACTCATATTTTAAGCAGTCAGATAAATCAATCAGAGTATGGTTACATTCAGTTTTCTTGAACATGCATCGGCGGAATTCAGCTCGCTGTTCTGGAGGTAGCTTACTAAGCAGCCGAGCAACGTGTGAGCCACAGTATAGCTCCACCTCTCCTTCAGGACCAAGTGTCTTCAGCATGCCAACCAGTGACTGAATCTGGAGAGAAAATTTCTCAAAGGCAACGACATCACCACGCTGAATGTCAGGTGAATCCATCACAGTGGCAATCCTCCTCAGGATGGTGGGGCTGCCCGAACTTCTCATTTAAGGCCATCATGGTATCTGTGAATGGGGTTGGAGAGTGAAGGTACGCTCCCGCTACCAATCTGGCATCCTCCAACTTCAGATGGTCCACTAAAACTTGATATTTGAAGAGCTCTGGACTGTCAGGTGGTAATAAGTTCTCTAGAGCCATCTTCAGGTGCGCAAACTCACCAGGATCTCTGTGAAATAGGTTAGGGATAGTTGGACGAAGACCATGATAGACTGCATCTGAGCTGAAGCTCTGGTAGGGTGGCCCAGGATTTGAGGAAGTTGATTGGCGAACATGAGGAGTTTGCAGAAGAGGTGTTTGCTGTATTGGTGGTTGAGGAGGAGTAGCCTGGTTGCTCATAGGTCTATGATTGGTGCTAGAGATAAATCTCGTGTTGAAAGTAGCTGAAGGATGTGCTGATGTACCCTGTCGAGGGGTTACTGGTGGAACCTGAGTGCTGATTGGATAATTGTTCCTTGTCTGTTGATACACTAAGTCCATTTGTGTTGCTTGTTGAGTTGATGGCTTACTGTGTTTGGTTAGCAGAGCCTCACCTTTCAAAATCTGAAGCTCACTCATCATTTTGTCCAGGCACTCCAGGACCGGCATTTCCTCCTCATCCTCAGTCACCCAAGCCGGTGGTGGTGGCAATGGCCACTCCTCATCCTCATTATTGACAGGTGGGTCAGGAGGCTGGACGCATGGTGCTCTTTTAAGTTGTTCCCGCTGAGACCCATGTGTAGCGCTCATTATCTGCAACATATCAGTCTGTATAGCTCTTAATTGTGCCAGGTCTGCTGAAATGTGCTGCTGTGACTGCTGAAGGAGGGCCCTTTCATTTTGGAGCTCTTCTAACTCTGATCTTAGAGCCATAGCTTCAGTCGAAGGGGGAAGTAAAGGCCGGTGGGGAGTAGGATTGGTCCATAACCCTGTCTGCCTTCTCTCAGAGACTATCGATTGAGCTAACTGCTGCTCCTTGTTCCATAGCAGACTCCCACCTGCTTCATGTCTC